CCCCCCCCAAAAAAAAAATTGCAGATTTTTTTGCTCTTCCAAAGCTTTTGAAATTCAATTTCTCTCTTTCTTACTAATCACCCAAAATCTCTATTTTTTTTATTAATATAATGCGGATGAAATTTAAAATATTGCTCTAGAATCAAGTTGTGGGTAAACGTTGAATCTTGTTTTCTTTCTTTCTAAAATCTTTATTATATGTGACTTGTATATGATACATCAATACCCAAAATAATACTCGATACAACACTAATACAATTATAATACGATTATATTAAATTTTTAGTGTATAGTTGTGATTGAAACTTGAAGAAGATGAAGATCATATTTTTTTAGAAATGTATCGCAATTGTATTATAATTGTATATGTATCATAATTGTTGCAAGAATTGTATTACAAATGTATAATAGTTGCATATTCATTGTATATTGTTACGAGCAGTTGTGCCTTCGTGATGAATTTCACAATTTGTATCACAAGTATGATAATTGTATATTAATTTATTAGTATTGTATCATGTATTATTTTGGGTATTAATATACCAGATGCAAGTTAAATACAATTGTGATACAAGTATGATACATTTATGTTTTAGGCATTGATGTATCCGATGGAATTCAAATATAATTATGATATTGTTATCATACAATTATCATAAAATTTCAGAATATTTTTTTAATAATATAAAGCTATCGGTGATGGTGGAAAGAGAGAAGATGGAGATTATGGGATTAGATTAATGAACTTTGATGTAAAACAAAAAAGAGAGAGAAAAGGAGAAGGAAAAAAAGGAAAGGATATAATTGAATCCCTTAATTGAAGGCACTAATAATGGGGTAGGATTCTTTTAAGAAGTAATGTATACAATTTGTAAGAAAAACCTAGATATTTATTAAAAACTTTAAAACATAGAGAACATAGGTAAATAAGTTTCTAATATAATATAACTAGGTAAAAATCCATGCGAAGAAGCTACTAACAACATATTTTGGCCCATTAATTGTAAAATCAATACAACTATTTGGCCATAGAACAACTTTTTTTCCAGCTTTTTTTTTATTGTTAATTTGATGGGCATACATCAGGTCCAGTGTTATTTGTACAACATACCCCTTTACAATTTTAACATATCTCTTACGTTTAAAAGTAGATCTCTCATGTGTAAAAAAAGATGTAAGGTCATAAAATTAAAAACAAGTTTGTAAAGGGCCAAAAACCTGTTATTGATTTGAGGATATGTATCAATTCGATGGTTTAGGATTGGAATGATTTATTATTTGAGTGGTTCTCTTATCTGGCTCTCCTTCTATATCTGGTTTATATTTGAGTTATTGCTTGTTGGGCATGAGTTGTGTCGTATGTGTCTAGGTGACATTTAGTGTGGCTTGTCGGTTGAATGGCTTGTACTAGATGAGATGAGATCAGTGGACCTCGAATTTGTATAATCAGATTTGGATAAGATATGTTTGGATAAGAACGTCATTAATCAGTGTAGAGTTTGGCAATGGATCTTGTTGGGCGAGAGAACTCCACGAATTGTTGATTAGATGAGTGGTTATGAGTTTCTACATGTCCCTTACATCATTAGTTGTGTTGTCAAGGTTGGAACAAGATTTTATTTGATATAAAGTTTGTTACCGGTACCAGCTTTGTTAATGAGCTGCTATTACAATTTGAAGATATTACTACGAGTTCATGAGTTATGTGGTTCGTCGTGTGATTATATCATTGAATATGGCCATGGCTTGATGCCATTTTTTAGACTTATATAGTATATATATGCGAGAATCAAATCGTATCAGGAATTTCAAATGTTAG